AAGATTGTGATCTCAAGTCTAATTTACCAGATGATATTTTTCTTGAGGTAATGAAAATTGCAAATGCCCTTTCACTATACCTTAAAGATACTATCTATAAATCCCCTGATTAAAAGTTGCGAAAATAGTGAAGTTTTTATTTTTGATATTTGTACATATTCTTTATCTTTAAGTTTTATTGTTTTTTTGTTTTTATTACTTTTGTTTATTCTTGTCTTGTTATTCTTTTTACCTTACTAAATCCTCTGATGATTTAGTTGTGTAATAAAGTTGTTATTATGGTGGTGGCTACAATATGATTACACATTTTAATGACTTTCACACTATTAGATCGAAAAATGAAAAACATCAACGTGAAACATTATGGCATCCATATACACAACACCTCACCATGTTTTAAATTGTCAGTAACAAAGACTCATGGGGATTGGGATTGATGTAATAGAATGAATGGGTTCAATTTAATATCACTGTTCACTAGTGATTTCCTCGACTAGCTCTCTAGAGGCGAAATGATGGCATGCATAGAGGATGTTTGTCATCTACTCCGCAGCCTGTTTTATACCTGATATATAGGGCATTCCGCAGCATCGTACAAGTTGTTTTTATGGACAGAATTCATTCATAGGTCTCAAATTCTCTGCACAGAAAAGCAAAAGCCAGACCTCTGCTTTCCATTAAATTATCTTATTTTTTTTTCACACAGCGAGGATTTGACAGTGAGTTGTTAAGTACTGTGTTTTCTCATGCCACCCTGGGTAATTCACTGGTTGCTATTGGATCAGGCATCGTTGCGCAAGTCTTTGCTGACAACTTTGGATTTGTGTAAGTTGGGGGAAAACCATTTGAAATTCTGGGGAGGGATCAGAAGATGTAGACTCTATGCTATGATGTGATATCCTGTGCTTTGATGCGATACCGTATGCTATGATGCGATACTCCATGCTATGATGCGATAACCTATGCTATGATGTGATACCCCATGCTATGATATGACTTTGAATGTCCACATTAGGAATCAATCCAAAGTAAACATGTGACTCCACATTTAGTGTTGATTCTTTGCTGAAAATATTGCTCAGAATACAAGTTCCATTGTCAATATGGATAATAATTACACGAGTGACCAACACTGGCAATGCTGTCGAAAAAAGGGTGTTATCTCAGGACTGTTGTCATTTGGTTGAATAACACTGGGGTAAAAAAATATCACGTGGTATGAATTGAATGTGACAAATTATTGCCACAGCTAAAACAATAAGACACAACAGATATCACATTTACGAATATGATAATATGAGACCGCATACTGTCTGAGTGCATATTTTGCAGTATCCTTGTAATAACTTTATTATCATACATCTTTTCCTCTCAGAAATACATCATGGGATGCCTAAATCCAAAACGTTTAGAACAGATTTAATAGCGAACTTCTTTCAGCCATGTTTGTTTGATATTATTAGAGGACGCTTACACATGAAATTGTTCGATATTTGGAATTCTGGTTTCCTAATATGGTAGGATAAAAATACTCTGTGCAATACCGTAAAATTATGCATGCTGTAACTTATGGCGTTACGGTGACCGAATGTATAATAATGAGCTTTATTCTGATGTAATGAAAAATAAATTCATCTTAGCCTTAATAATATTATAGTATTTTTAAATTCAAAAATATGTGTAATAAAACAAAACGTAAACTAAATTTATATGTAATTCAACAATGTATACTGTCATAACGTGGTAGCATGTTGAGGTGTTACAGCCAGGATGCAGCTACGGTACTAATGATCCTCTTTAAAGAAAACATGTCACAGTTTACTCAGCAGCCTGTCAATTTAATGTCTTTGTGTTTAAATGGTATATTTTATTAGTGTATTTAATATTATAATAGTGGACCATGCCTGTAAATGCACGATAATGATTGGACGAGCGGTGGTTTTAATTTACGCAAGCTGATCTAAAATATCTTAGTTTTGAGGCTCTAAGATCAGCCATATTCCTTAAGTACATAGACATGTACATCAATGATATGATG